AAGGTTGAGAAGGGACAGTGTTGACATGCTGGGGGGTTGTTAACCATTGTCATAAAACAGTATGTGTACTAACTGTTTAATAAGAAACTATTCTGTCAACCTTCATCTAAAGTACAATTAAAAAAAATTAAAAAAAAGAAAACACCATGCTTATGCCTAGCTACTTAAAAAAATGTTCTAAGACAAGCAAAACTACCCGTGCAATCAAGTAACTCTTCCGAGTCCTCAATTTTCTTTGTTTACTTATTTTTCAAGAAGGCTGTACCCTAAATTGCTACAAAAGCTGTGACTGAAATACATCTTGAGAAGAACCAAAGGGGAGGGATTCCTTCTGAAAGACATGTAGGTTTTCTAACCATGAATGTCTCTGTAATAAAGCTGTTGTAATGTGCCCCTGACTCGATTCCAACTCACAGCGACCTTACAGGACAGAGTAGAAGTACCCCATATGGTTTCCTAAGCTGTAATCTTTACGGAAGCAGACTGCCACATATTTCTCCCACGGAGCAGGTGGTGGGTTAGAATTGCCAACCTTTTGGTTAGCAGCCAAGCACTTAACCACTGCGCCACCAGGGTATCTTTCTATAATAAAGTAATACTATTCTATTAATAAAGATACACAACTTGAATTTGCAAAAACTGTACTGAAAAATTACATTAGAAAATAAAGCATTCCTCCACGCCAGAAGGGTCTTCAGTTTATTCACCTCTAGCGATGCAAAGACTGCAGTTACGAGCATCTGAGTATCTGGACAGTTTGGGCCACCCCTGCTTCCGTTTTCATCTGTCTTGTGTCAAATACTGCCACTGTTTAAATCTCACAAAATGCCATTTTGTTAATTTTGTGTTTTCATTCATGTAAGGTGGCTTCAATGCCAAAGCAAATTCACTGTTAGGAAGTTAATGTGTAAATAAAAGACAGGGAACTAATTCTGCCTTTCTTGAATTTTAAAAGAAGTTATGAACCTCCAAATTTAATTCTGTGTCATTATTTAAACACCTCCAACCCCAGCCCTCCATGGCCTGCCATGCCCACTGGGCCCTGTCCAGCTATCCACCCCCTACCTGAGTAGTTACCATACCACTGCCCTCCTTTTAAGCAGATGAATTCAAAATCGCCAAGAAACTATGCCAAGCTGGTGTCACCATCCTCTCCCTCATTGCTACCTTCATTTATTCATTCAACATATATTTTTTGAGCATCTGCTAATTGCCAAGCCACCACGTGTCTGTCAGTTTGTTATTCTGTGGTGGTTCATGTGTTGCTATGATGCTGAAAGCTATGCCACCAGCATTCCAAATACCAGTAGGGTCACCTTTGGTGGACAGGTTTCAACAGAGCTTCCACACTAAGACAGACTGAAAGGCCTGGCGGTGATCTACTTCTGAAAACTAACTAACGAAGACCCTATGAATTACAACAGTCTATCATTTGATACAATGCTGGAAGATGAGCCCCCTACGCTGGAAGGCACTCAGAATACACAGTGGCCACAACAATGGATTCAAACTTACCCACAATCATGAAGATGATGCAGGACTGGGCAACGTTTCGTTCTGTTATACATAAGGCTGCCATGAATTGGAGTCAACTTGATGGTGGGCACAGAACAGCAGAGTGGACAATATAGACATGATAATGCCCCCTCCTTAAACGGCTCATGAGACCACATGACTGTTCATGTGAAAACTGCGGTGCTGCTCTGGGGTTCTGGTAACAACGTGGGGAAGAAATAATCGGAAAACACACTTGGACTTGACACAGAAAAACACGTTTGCTGAAACTGCTGGGAAGAAATGAGATCCACCTGTGGTATCTGGATTTCACTCAAGATACATATCATGTCATAAACAAATTATAAACAAACACCCACCCACACATTCTCAGAGCCCTGCTATCTGCTCCACAAACGCCCTGCCAGCGCCCAGCCTGGTGGAGGGCCCCTGGCTTCCAATGGCCAGTGTGCCTGCTGTCCTCTATCGCCGCTCGGACCACATAACAAGGAAATAACTTGTAACTTGTATGTCTTAGTCTCTCCCATCTCAAGATCTCCACTGTCAATGATATTGCCTAATACATACTGTTGGTACCTAAGTAAATACTTGTTGAGTTGACCTGACTTCCAGTAAGACGTCTTTGCCCTAAATATGAGAATGAACGAGCAATCAGGAATCACAGGAATCACAGATCAGGGACACGGGCAGTGTCCAGCACAGGAATGAATACCAGGACTTTCAGAACAGCCTCTTTGACTAATTTCAAGTTGAGCAAGTTAGTTAGTAATAATGCCCCTGGTGGACTTACCTCATTTCGTGCCACCAGAGTGATAAACGCCCCTTGTTTATAGCACTCAATAGCAATACACTTTCCGATGCCACTGGAGCCTCCTGTAACCTAAAAACAAAACAATAAAATCTCCTTAGCACTTGAAATTTCCCTTATGCAGAAAGTTTATTTAAAATAACAATTATGTGACGGAAACGTTTTCCACTTGACTACTAACTGTTCAAACCCACCCAGTGGCGCCAGGCAAGAAAGACCTGCCAATCTGCTTCCGTAAAGATTACAGCCAAGCAAACCCTATGAAGTAGTTCTATTCTGCAACACATGGGTTCGCCCTGAGTTGCAATCAACTCGGCAGCGATGGGTTTGGTTTTTGTTTTTTTATAATGAGCTCTAAAACACTCTGTCATTGTGTGATATTGAGTGGATTCCAATTCATAGCAACCCTACGGGGCAGAGTAGAATTGCCCCAGAGGGTTTCCTAAGCTGCAGTCTTCATGGGAGCAGATTGCCAGGACTTTTCTCCTTCGGAGCCGCTGGGTGGTTCGAACCTCCAACCTTTCGATTAGCAGCCGAGTGTTTAACTGTTGCCCCACCAAGGCTCTCTTAAAACACACTCTAGAAGAGCTAAATATTTAGCTACTTGTAGCTTCCTAATACCAAATTTAATAACTGGAATGAGTACAAACATGAAAGATCATACTGTCAGCAGGGCCTAATGCTTTTATTGTTTTTAGTATAGGACTATAAATTGCACACCTATAATAGCTTTCTGAGTTCTCTGGAGGGAAAGTGCCCTGTAAATCTAGCCAAGAAATAATACATTAATCTGTTTGAGTCCAAATCCAAATGAATCTTATTTCCTTACTGCCTACCTCCTATGCAAAACCAGTTCTACAAGACATTAAAAGAATGGCCACCTGCATGTATCTAATGATATTACTTTTTATAAAAGTAATATGTGATCTCAAGAAAATACGGAAAAGTAAAGCTCTTCACCTTGTACTCTTTTCAGCCTCACCATCTATAGCTCAGCCATACTGGCCATCTCTCAGCCCACGCTCCTCCAAACCCAGGGCCTTTGCATGGTTTACTTTCCCTTCCAGGAACACTCTCTCTCCTCTTTCATCTAGCCGGCACCCATCATATCTCAGCTCAAACATCACTTCCTCAGGAAAGCCTTCACTGACTCCCTCTGGCCCCAACCAGGTCACCCTTTTATTCACTTTTCAGCACTACATCCTTTTTATTTTATGGTGCTGACATATGCAAACAGTCATGCGTTTATTTGTATGATTATTTCATTCACGACCATCTCTCCTATCACCATCCCACAAGCTCCATAAAAATACCAACTCTGCCCTTGCTCACCACTATATTCCAAGCACTTCGCACAGTGTCTGGCGTATCGAAAGAACTCAATAAATATTTAACTTAAAACAAATGGCACATTATCTTTCTTGTTGTTTTCCCTATGCAAATTATACATTACATGGCACCGCATCCTACTTTTTAAAAAAATTACGCTGGGATATCTTACGTCACAAAACTAAAAGGCTTCATAACATTGCATTAAATAGCTGTATCAAAACTTAAAAATCCCCTACAGTTGGACATTTAGGTTGTTTGTGATATTATACTGTTATATGTAAATAATACTGCAACGAACATCTTTGACCCCATTCCATGACTTTAAAGTCATCATGAAGCCCCGCCTACATAGATGTACCTTTCTCCATGAGTCTTGGGCATCCCCTACTTCTCTTTAGCCTCAACTTCCCACTACTGAAGTAACCTAAAGAAGGTTACTGTAAAAATACATCTGCTGCCTAAGCTAACAGCTGACCCTGAGGAGGTCTTTGCTATCTGGGATACTTCATGGGTTGTTTCATTATTTTTCACCAGATATTACAATTCCACAGCAACTGGCAAGATCCCCCTCGCCCCCCACACCAAATGTCCCTATTTTATGAGGCTATTCCTGCTGTTTAGATGTTCCTCGACCCAACCTCGCACACATACCTACGTTTCCAAATCCTAAGTATCCTATAGGGTCGCTATGAGTAGGAATCAACTTGATGGCAATGGGTTTGGTCTTTTCGGTTTAACTATCCTTCAGAGTCCAGCTCAAATGTCCCCGCCTCCATGAAGCCTTTACCTGTCACCTTCTGCCTTGTGTAGTTACTTATATACATCTTAGCTCCCTTATCAGACGAGAAGTTGCTTAAGGATGAGGACCAAGTCCAATTTATATCATGCATATCTAGCACAGTACTTTGCACAAGCAGTTGTTAAATAAATATTTGCCTACATGAATTCATAAACTGTTGCATGATGCCATTTCTCTGAAAAATACAATGCCCAAAAACCTTGTAAAGAAAATCTATTTATTATTCAAAGAATTAATAGAAGTTGAAATTATGCAATTATGCGAAACAACTTATATGCTCTAAGGTCCTAGGTAGATATTAAAACCAAAAAAACCAAAACCATTGCCGTTGAGTCGATTCTGACTCATAGTGACTCTACAGAACAGAGTATAACTGCCCCATAGAGTTTCCAAGGAGCAGCTGGTGGAGGTGAACAGCCGACCTTTTGGTTAACAGCCGCGTTCTTAACCAGGGTTCCGTTATTACTGTTATTATTGCTGTCCTATTTCCAGACAGTACATAGGTTAGCCAGCTATGTAAATTTACACAGCAAAGAACAGGGTTCAAATCTGATCACTTGTAATGTCTCTCTTTAACAACAAGAGTATGAGTTCAGCTTCTGTGTCATGATTCATGGAAAACTTCTAGTCAATTCAGCTAATTCTCAGAAGGAATCTAAGGATATACTTAAGTCAGTTCTGGGCTATGTTATTCTGAATGCTATAAGAAAATAAAATGTATTTTCTTAAGGCTGAGAAAAAAGTGGTAAATGCATATTGAGTTGTCTGAGAGTTGCTAAATTGAGCCCAGATGGGGGACACTAGACAACAGTTTAACTTCCTTCCTTAATCATTCTCTTGCCACTCATTGCAAATATTGTTTAAATGTTTCTCTCTAATCACATCATATACCTCTTATTAAGGGCAACAGAGGCAGTGGTTTGCTGCAAGGAGAGCTGCTCCCAGCTATCTCCAAAAGAGGGGGACTTGATTTTCCAATTCCCCCTACGGTCAATTACAGCTTTTTAAATACTAGCTGATTTAAATAAGTATATGCCATGTAAGACATCCTGCCCAGTTTTACTACTGTAATTAGGGAGATAACATTAGTACGTAAGAACTGTTCTAAAAACAAAACAATACATAGTTATGCCATGTATTTGTCCATGCTTCCACAGGCAGTCATTCTAAATGTTAGCTCTCTCTCCTACCACCACTCTGCCTAGTCCTAACAAACCTCAAGAAAAATAATTACACTTTCATTCTTCTGATGCCATTAAAAAACAGATGGCCACGTCATGTGACTTATTCATGTTGTCCCCTCATCTTTATTGTTGCTGTCTGTTGTTAGCTGCTGCCAAGTAGGTTCCCAACACATGGTGCTCCCATGGGTGACAGGGTAGAACTGCTCCATAGGGTTTGACTGGCTGTAATCTTTACCAAAGCAGATCACCAGGACTTTCTTCCGCAGAGCTGCTGGGTGGGTTCAAACTACCAACCCTTTGGTAAGCAGCCTGGCATCACACAGGATCCTCATATTATTTACAGGGATATATTAAAGCAAGAAGGAACTCTGGTGGCACAGTGGTTAAAGTGCTCAGCTGCCAATCAACAGCTCGGCGGTTCAAATCCACCAGCCACTCCACGGTAGAAAGATGTGGCAGTCTACTTCTGTAAAGATTACGGCCTTGGAAACCCCATGGGGCAGTTCTACTCGGTCCTATAGGGTCACTATGAGTCAGAATCGGTTTGACAGTAACAGCTTTATTAAAGCAGGAGGGTGGAAATAAGAAATTCTTCCTCAGATATCCCAACAGACACAGTGTTTATCATCTTCCCGATGATCTACAGCCTGAAAGGGTGGAAGGTCAAGATTAAGTAAACGGGATTCAAAAACATTGAATCAGAATTTTCCTTACTGCTTTGGACTTTACCTTTTTCCAAGTTATGATAACTTCTGCAAGCACAAGTACTGAAAGAATCCAACTTTTAAAGCCATGCTTTTGAGGCAGAAGTTCTTATGGATGGGAGATTTTCTGAATTTAGCCATGTTGTAAAATTTTGCTTCTCTCTCTTTTTTTAATGACTCTGTACTGACCGTCTCACCTCCCTTCCAGATGAGGAATAGGAGCAGAAGAAATATACTAAGTTTTACAAACAAAAAAAAGAAAGAAAATGCATTTTGTCATTTACAACTCTTGTTCAGGTTTAAAACACTGAAAGAAATGACAGTCCCAGCTCAGTGGGGAAACTCGGGCCTCAGCACAGATGCCAAGTCTCACCTCCAGTCTCACCAGGAGGATATGCGCTTTCAGCTTAGTAATCAACACTCCTTACCCATTAACACCGGCCTCAACATGCCTGAGAGATCCAAGTAAGAAAACGTAAGAGAAAGCCGCAGGTAAGGCGCAATCTCAACGCGTTTATGAAAGGTGCCCAACTTGCAGAATAGGGGTCTTTTGAATACAAGAGCTTTCAGTAAGAAACAAACCAACCCCCCCCCACAGGCCCTCCACTCCTAACGCGCTAGTCATCTCATCGAGCTCACCCCCCTGACTCGGAAATAATGTCAGAGGATTGCATTAGAGCAGCCAGCAATCAGTACACTCCGGGCTGAGCCCAGGGGACAGACTCAGACACAGGCAGTGTAAACGGGGCAGGAGCGTCCCACACGGCTGGCCCCACTGCCAGGCCACTGCCATTTCCCAGGTGAGTCACTTCCTGAATCCCTTCGGCGCCGCTCTTGCTGGGACGCCCCATGGCTGTGCCCGCCCCGCGCCCACCGACCGCTGTGTCCTTGGCGAAGTTTCTCGGCCTCTCTGGTCTTCAGTTGACTCATCCAGAAAACGGAGGCCAAAAATATTCCCCTCCCAGGGCTACTCTGGGACTACAGAGCAGCTCCAGCCCCGGGCCCGGGCTCGCCGTGGCCGTCCCCGCGCACATCCCGCGTAACGAAGCGCGGCCCAAGGCCGGGGACTGCAGGTGGCCTTCGCGGCCGGGCCTGGAGCACGGTGGCAACGGGGCCACCCCCACGGACGGGCCTCCCCACGGCGGCGCACGGGGTTGGGACGAGCGGAGTCGGGGCGCTCACAGCACCACTTACCACCACATGCGCTCCGGGCAGCGCGAGGGGCTTGGGGCTGATGAGCGGGGACACCATGTAGAGCAGCAGCACGAAGGCCACGAAGAAGGCGGCTACCAGCAGCAGCATCGCGGGGACGGGCTGGGGCGGCGGGCCGGGGCCGCGCAGTGCTCGGGCTCGGCTCCGCGCCGCCCGGTCATGCGCCGCCCACGCGCAGCAGTAACGGGAATGTTTGGGTTCCCGGCGCAGGGCGAGGCAAGCAGCCGCGGGAAGAGGAGGAGCCGGGGGCGGGCCCGGGGCGGGGAGGCCAAGGAGTAGGCGAGCGGACGGGGGAAGAGGAGGAGCCACGGGCCGGACCAGGGCGAAGCTTCCAGTGGGCGGGGCGAGCCGGCAGGGGAAGGGGAGGAGCCGCCGGCCGCCCAGGGGACGGGGCGAGACGGCAGGGCGGGAGGAGGAGAAGCCGTGGGTGGGGTAAAGGCGGGGCGTACAGGGGGCGGGGCGAGTGGCCGTGGGAAAAGGAGGAGTCGCTGGGCGGGCTGGGACCGGGGCATTCAGGGGCGGGGCGAACCGACGGGGGAAGAGGAGGAGCCACGGGGCGTCCAAGGGGCGGGACGGGAGGGCGGGGCGTCTAGGGCGGACAGAGTGGGCGGGGTGGGCCAACTTCCCTCTCTCTCGGGGGTCTTCGAGTGCCCCCCCCGCCCCCCAACCCCCAGCGTCAGGGCCCGGCCTGCTTTCCTTCCAGAACAGGGCCTCTGCCGCAGGGAGCTCGGGCAGCCGCTCCTGGGGAGGCCTGGGGTGACGAGCTGCTTGTTTGTGTGTGGCTGCTGCTTGGGCCGCCGGAGAGCAGGTTTCCAGCCCCACAAACCCGCGAGCCAGAGGGTAATCACACCCGTCCAGGAGGTGGGTCACCCCGGTGAGGACGGAGGAAGTATGTAAGAGCCTTACAAACAGTGGCTTTAGGATCTCTGGGCCTGGTTGCAATGTGGAAGCCTTGAGGTTAAGCTCCGAAATTCCGGATTCCATTTCTTATTTTCTTAGCATACCTAGAAAATGATCACAGCCCACTTTCACTTTTCAGAGGACCAAGAACTAAACCGTGGAATTTAAAAGATCATTCGGATAATTTAACAATTTCACGGAGCTCAGACTTCATCTTTCCTAAAGCAGGTTTTTTTTTTAAACAGCTTTACTGAGATGTAATTTACATACCATACAGTTCACCCATTGAAAGTGTACGATTCAGTGGCTTTTCGTATAGTCACAGATTTGTGCAACCATCACAATTTCAGAACATTTTCATCATCCCAAAAAGAAACAAGGTACTCATCAGCAATCAGTCCCCATTTCCTCCTAACCAACCCTCTCCCCCAGACTTTGTTGTTGTTAGTTGCCCTCCAGCTGGCTCCTACTCAAGGCTATATTACACCAGAAAACATTAAGTGGCCTTGCATCATCTTCATGATTGTTGCTGTTTGTGGCTATTGTGTCAATCCATCTTATTGAGTGTTTACTTCGTTTTCCCTGACCTTCTACTTTACCACGCCCTAGGCAACCACTAATCTACTTTGTCTCTATAGATTTGCCTATTCTAGACATTTCATATAAATGGAATCATACAATATGTGGCCTGTGGATTTCTTTCACTTAGCATAACGTTTTCAAGATTCATCCAAGTTGTAGCATGTATCAGTGCTTCATTTCTTTTTATTGTCAAATAATATCCTCATTGTACGCACATGCCACATTTTTCCATTAATGGACATTTACGTTGTTTCCACTTTTCAGCAATTATAAATAATACTGCTATGAACATGCGTACAAGTTTTGGTGTGGACACACATTTTGATTTCTTTTGGGTATATACCTAGGAATGGAATTGATAACTCTTAGGAGCCTTGGTGGTATAGTGGTTAAAGCACTTGGCTGCTAAGCAAAAGGTTGGCAGTTCAAACCCACCAGCCACTCTGTGGAAGAAAAATGTGGCAGTCTGCTTCCATGAAGATTTACAGCCTTGGAAACCCTATGGGGCAGTGCTACTCTGTCCTAGTTCACTATGAGTCAGAATCAAGTCGATGGCAGTGGTTTGGTCTGGTTTGGTATGATAACTCTATATGTAACTGAGGAACTGCCATACTGTTTGCCTTAGCGGCTGCACCATACATTCCCACCGACTGTATAAAGGTTCCAATTCCTCCACATCCTGGCCAACACTTCTCATCTGTCTTTTTGATTATAGCCATACCATGCGCTACCAGAAGAATGAACAAGTCTGTCTTGGAAGAAGTACAGCCAGAATGCTCATTAGAAGCAAGGATGGTGAGACTTCATCTCACGTACTTTGGATAAGTTATCAGGAGGGACCAGTCCCTGGAGAAGGACATCATGCTTGGTAAGGTAGAGGGTCAGTGAAAAAGAGGAAGACCCTCAAGGAGATGGATTGACACAATGGCTGCAACAATGGGCTCAAAGACAGCAACGATTGTGAGGGTGGGCAGTGTTTCATTCTGTTGTACAAAGGGCCACTGTGAGTCAGAACTGACTCGATAGTACCTAACAACAGCCGGCATGAAGTGGTATCTCATTGTAGTTTTGATTTGTGTAAGACACGTTTTTTTTGTTTGTTTTTAGAAATACTAAGGAGCAAAAGGAATTGATTTTCTTCTTTCTTAATGTCTACTCTTGGAAAAGGCGATGAAACACAAATACATATCTTAGGTCATACTGACAGCCAGCCACATGTGTCCAACACCCCAGGGCACTGTTAACTACAGTAGTTACAAACAGCTCTGTTCTCTTCTCTCCAATTTCCTCTGCCCTCTTCTTATCACATACATGCATGCACACACCCACCTTTAACTTTTACTTATTTTTAACGATGCTTATACCCTTTGCCTGCCAAGACTCAAAATTTCTTGAAAGCAATGGCTGTTTTCCTCCTTTTGTATCATTGGCACAGTTCTAGAACAGCACATCATCAGTAAATGTAATTTCCAACTTTCTCTTCAACTTAGACTTTTATTTCCAATTATCTAGTAGACTCTTCTACCTAAATTCAACAGGATACTATTTGTGGGCAGGGCTTAAAGATTCAAAGAAGTGTAGGACATGGACCTTGCTACTCAAAGTGGGGTCTACACATGAGCAGCATGAGCATCACTGGGGCTTGCTGGAAATGCAGAGTCTCAGGCCCTGCCCCATATGTAGTATGGCGAGGCTGTGGGGCTGCAACTTCTCCATAACGCCAAATCATTATTTGCCCAAACCAACCTTTATTCCAAATCTAGATTAAAATCTCCCCCAAAAAAGATATTTCTAGGCCCAGGTGGTTTGATGGGAGAATTCTACCAAATGCTTAGAGAAGAATTAACACCAATTCTATACAATCTTTTCCAGAAAACATAAGAGAGAATAGTTCCCAATTCATTTTATAAAACAGACAAAAACAGTACAAAAAAAGACTTCAGACCTATATCTCTCATGAATATAGATGCAAAAATCCTCAACAAAATGTAAGTAAACAGAGTTGAGCAATACATGAAAAGAATTATACACCATGACCAAGTAGCTTATTCCAGGAATGCAAGACTGGTTTAATACTCAAAACTCTGTCAATGTACTCCACCATATTAACAGACTAAATAAGAAAAGACACATGATCATATTAATGCAGAAAACGCATCTGGCACAAGTCAGCACCCATCCATGATTAAAATTCTCAGAAAAAGAGTAACTTTGATTTGATAAAGATCTTCTAAAAAAGTCTACAGCTAACAGTATACTTAATGGTGAAAGACTGAAGAATGCTTTCCCCCTAAGATCAGGCAAGCATATCCTTCTAGACACTGACATGAAAACTGGGTGCATCTCCAAAGAATTATGCTGAGTGAAAAGTCAGTCCCAAAAGGCTACATACTGTGTGATTCCATTTACATAACCTCTTGGAAATAACAAACTAATAGAAATGGAGAACAGATAAATGGTTTCCAGGGGTTACCAAGGGGTTGGGGCAGGAGGGAAGTGGGTGTGGTTATAAAAGGGCAACACAAGGGATCCATGTGGTGATGGAAATTTTCTTTAACTGTGTCAATGTCAATATCCTGGTTGTGATCTTGTAAAATGTTTCCATTGGGTGTAGCCCATTCCCTGCTCTGTATTATTTCTTACAACTGTATGTGAATTTACAAATATCTCAGAATAAAATTCTGTGGATCCTTCTCTTTTCCTATTCCAAAAACCCACTGCCATCAAGTCGATTCTGACTCATAGTGACCCTACAGGACACAGTAGAACTGTGCCGTAGGGTTTCCAAGGCTGTAAATCTTTCTGGAAGCAGATTGCCACATCTCCCTCCTGTAGAGCACCTGGTGGGTTCGAACCACCGGCCTTCTGGTTAGCAGCTGAGTGCTTTAACCACTGCACAAACAGGTCGCCCTCTCTTTTCCTATTAGATTTCCTTATTTTTTTTGAAAAAAGTTTCAAATTCTACTTTTAAAGAAATAAAACTTTGTGAAGAAGGAAGAAAAATTATACATGTACACTGTATTCAAATTTTATGTTCTCTTATTCAAAGAAGACGAAGATTGATTCACTCAAATATTTATTGTGCACCCACCAGGTGCCACGCTGTTCTAGATACTGGAGATACAGCAGTGAACAAAACAGCAAGAAACTCCCCAGCTCTTGTGGCACTTACATGTGAGTGGCAGACAATTACAAATAAGAATAAACATGATATATAGTATGTTAGATGATAAGAAGAGCTACAGAGAAAAATAAAGCAGGGAATGAGGATAAGGAGCATTAGGGGGGATTGTAATTTTTAAATAAGATGACCAAGGAACGTCTCACTGAAAAGGTGACATTTGAAAATACACCTGAAGGAGATGAGAGGGGAAGAAGGTTAAAAAAAACAAAAAACAAAAAATCAACCCAAATCTCACTATCCATAAATAGCATAAATGAACATATAGTGAAAATCATTCCAGACATCTATGTATACGTGTAGATTTCTAGATGGGCAATGGATGGCTTATGAATGAATGGATGGTTGGAGAGACAGATACAACTAGGAGAAGTATGCCTAAATATGCTTTTATAAAAATGGATTAAAACTATATTTTTTTAATTCATTAACAAATTTATTAAGCACCTATTTTTGTTTCTGAGTGTATTTGGCATACAATATAGGGCCGTACAACTTGATGAGTTTTCACAAATGTATACCCTGAGATCCAGGTTTGGGGTTGTGTTAAATCTGTAAATCCAATTTGCTCAGAACAGACTTTTTTATAATAGCAAGTCTTTGAACTCACGAACAGGGCATATCCCTCCACTATTTAGGTCTTCTTTCTTTTGGTAATGTTTTGTAGTTTTCTGTGTGGAGGCCTTGTATATCTTTTACTGTATTTCTTTAAAGCTATCTGATGCTTTCTGATGCTATTGTGATTGGTATTGTTTTTATAATTTCAACAAATATTGTTGTTATAATTTCAATTTCTAATTGTTGCTACAGAATACCAAAATACAGTAATTTTTACTTATTCATCTTGCATCTTTAACCCTACTAAATTCATATTATTTCTAATAGCTTATTTTTAGATTAACTTGGATTTTCTTCATACACAATCCTATTATGTCAATAGGACAATTTTGTTTCTTCCTTTTTAACCTTTTAAGCCTTTTATTTATTTTTCTCCTATTGTCTAGGACCTTCTGCACAAAGTTAAAAAGGAGTCGTGATAGCAGGCACCTTTGTCTTTTTCCTTCTCTCCAGGGAGTGAAGTTTTCAAAAATTAACAAGTATGATGCTTGCTATAGTTTTTTTTTTTTGGTTATATTAAGATGTTCCCCTTTCTAGTTTATGGAATTTTTTTTTAATCATAAATAGGTGTTGTATTTTATGGTTTTCATGCATCTATAAATAAAACTTTTCTCCTTTATTACCATCTCCTTTGCCATACAGTCAATTCAGACTTACAGTAACCCTACAGGACAGAGCAGAACTGCCCCACAGTTTCCAAGGCTGTAATCTTTATGGAAGCAGATCACCAGGTCTTCCTCCACAAGTAGCTGGTGGGTTCAATACACCACCATAATTTCTGTGGTGTGAATACATCACCATGATTTCTGTGGTATGAATACAAACATAAGGTCACTGGACTTGGCATTGGGAAAAAATGTCCACAGATGTGTAGTTGGTTCGTGTGAGCTACTGTAAGCCAGCTCCTGCACACCTGATTTGAGTCCCCAATAACCAAGGCAGAAACACAAAAATTCATCATAACTTCACTAGACCAGCAACGACAAAGTCACTTCAAATTAACTGTTCTATAAAAAGCCTCAGGTCATCTGTGAAGTAGATCAAAATAAGGACACAATTCGCTTATTTACTCAAGCCTTTATTAAGTACCTAGTAAACAGTGTCCAGCACTATGCTAATTGCTGGGGACAATGTAACTCTTTGAAGAGTTTCCAGTGTACATGGTCTAAACAAGGTTAAGAGAATACGCCTGAAACTTGGAGAAAAGTCTCTAGATAATAGCCACTAAGGTGTTAGAGAAATTCAAAGGTAGGATGGGGATAGTTTAGGAATTCTTTCTGGAAGAGATTCCATGGATCATGAGCTGGGTCTTAATGGAAATATGGGATTTAGACTAGCAAAGAGGAAAGGACACAGTATTGGAGCAACAGAATGTTGGACATGAAGATCTTGAGGTAGAATGGTGGTGCCTTTGAGAGCTCACAGACTTGAGACGACATCATTGTCAATGCTGGACGCTCTGTACTGCTTCATGTGCAACAATGTCCAGCAACATTTATGGCAGCAATGTTAGGTGCATATGCTTCCATCTCTTAATGATGCAAGTTGCTGAATGGTGCTTCAGTAGCACTAATAACCAAATACACTCATTCTGTTTCCCTGCATGTAGCCCACAGGGAACTCAAAAGTCAATATTGACAGCCTTATAAATAGAGCCCCAACAGAGTTTTCAAAGGAGCCCTGGTAGCAGAGTAGTTAAGCACTTGGCTAACTGAAAAGTCAGTGGTTTGAACCCACCAGTTGCTCCATGGGAGAAAGATGTAGCAGTCTGCTTCCCTAGTAAAGAATATAGCCTTGGAAAACCTATGGAGCAGTTCTACTACACTCATTCGATAGAATCAACTCGATGGCAATGTGTTTGGGTTTTTGGTTTATCATTTCCAGGCTGAGACAAAATGCTCTTAAACACCCAGGGTGCAGCTTATAGAGATGCCCAAGTAGGGTCTACTTATTGACTCAGAAAATGTCTACCCAAAATTTCATAATGGTCAAGGCCCAGAGAAACAGCACATACATTCAGGCTCCTTTGCTTATGTTATCTGTTCATGTAAGATCATATGGAAATAGCACGTGTACCAAGCTCTGCCACTGCAGAATGAGTCTAAAGTTATTAGATCCCAGGAATAGTTTTAGACTCAGAAATTTTGATAATGGAGCTATGGCTGGAAATGACATGAATATTGAGACACAGCTCTCAAAGCACATATAAGAATTAAATGGGGCAAAGTATCCACTTATCATTAATTCTATACTTTACATACTATTTGGTCATGTATTTCATCAATTGAATAGAATACTCTCCTCAAAATAAATTTAGGATTCACAAAAAAAATTCTGGATTTCCACTATTACATAATTCTCCTAATTATATAATTAATAACAATATATAATTCTGAGGCTGACTAACAAATAAACTATGTTAGTTATAAGACATCTACAAAGTCAGTGTTGGTCCAACAAGTTAATTCCCAACCCTCACATAAAAATTATTGAAAAATAGAATTTTCACATATAAATCCTTAACTTAGATTTTTTAAATGATTTCTTTGCATCTAATCAATTTAGACAGTATTGTCTTTAACACTGAAGGTCCCCAAATAAAGAAGCATACACAAAATATAGCCAATAGTAGGTTGTACCAATTTACTTCATGTAAGGACAGCATATTTCAGACCTATGATTTCAATTTAACATCAACAATCTGTACAGAAAACCAAAGGCAACCATATAGCATAATATGTAAAATGTGCAAATATACTTTAAAAAGCAAGTTATTCTATAGCATTTGCAAGGTAGAACTTTGTAGCAAGTAAGCAATCTATTCTAGCTAGCAACAATCTTTTGCATGTATAGCCAATGCAAATGTACAAGGCACAACTTAGTGTTGATGCTAAAGTGTAACACATCTTCAGATTATTTATTTGAAGATATGATAATAACAAAATACCATGTTTGTATTTTATTATTTAATGAGACATCAGCTCATTTCTAAAGCTTCATAAAGCATTACACTGATAACATATGTGTGGCCAGGACAAACTGTTCCCTGAACTTAAAAGGTAAAAGATAAGACCCTTTCTATATTTTAAAAAAAAATTTGTATATGTATATATATACATATACACACCCCCACATCACATACAAGAAACTTCCTGTAATCCAAAGGAGGTGATTTCCTTACTAGCAAAGGCTCCCATTACAGTATTTCATGACAGAATTATTGAAAAATTACATACTTATTTACCAACTGTTTTGGTCAAAATTGGTACAAAAAGACATTGAAACAGACAATTTTCAAGGTAAAGACAATGCTTAATTTAGAAAGTCTTTCCCTTGAAATTGCACAGTGAAAGGTATTGTTTAGTTAAATACAAAAGCTTGCTGCTTTTAAAGAAAATATTTAAATCTACACGGAGAAAAAAGACAACCTATCAAAGATTAGTAAGAGCGCTGGTTGTAACGCAATTCAAAATCCTTCAAACCCAATCCCGGTGCTCTCTGTGGTTTTATCATATATTGCCTATCCCTGAGAGTGAAGAGTCTACCATTTTTAATTTTTTAATAGTAAATAAATTTTACTTTGATAATAAGAATGATGTTTAAGAATTTTTTCCCCCAAAATATTAAAGACCTTATTTCAGTTTAGTTAAAAAAAAAAAAAAGGTAAGTGCTCTTTGCAAAGACCACCGTTCATAAAAATTGCAAATATCAATCTCTCCATCGATTTTAATCTGCTTTTTATACTGGGTAATTTCTATTATTTGCCATTCATATAGCACTCATTTCTTTACAACCCATTATTTTATTATTTTCGTTAATAGGAGCATATTTAATAGGTAATGGAGGAAAAGTACAGTATAAAACTCAAAGGAACTCTGAACTGAGATCTATATATCCCTGTGGCAGAAGAGTTTTAAAACTGGAAATAATCTGAATGCCATCTGAGAAAGGCAAAAATGTCTAGGAAAGAATACATATGGTAAACCTCTTCCCTGTCTTTGGCTTAGCCTTCTTGGCCAAAATCTTCTGTAAACTTCTTTAATTTCAGCAAATCATGTTCATTTACTGTGGGTTTTGTGCTAGACAGCGACCGTAACATATCCGACTGTCAGGGAAAAAAGGGAAGGAGGGAAATATTAGTAACAGATTTAATAAAAATCATCACATTATTGTAAATTATTACTACTAATTTTAATCTAAGGTTAAATGTGAATATCTGCAATGTGCCATAAGTTATGGACAATAAACTCTCTTATTCTTTCTAAAAGTACCCTGCTGGCTCAATGGTTAAGCACTTGGCTGCTAACTGCAAGGTCGATGGTTCAAACCCACCCAGCGGCTTTGTGGGAAAGACCTGGAGATCTGCTCCCATAAAGATTACTGCCTAGAAAATCCTATGGGGCAGTTCTACTCTGTCATATGGGGTTGCTATGAGTCGGCATCGATTCAATGGCACCCGACAACAACAACATTCTTTCTAAAGGACATCTGTGATTATGACATTGCATTGCACAGAAACTTTCAATTTCTCCCTTTGTCCTGATCAAAACCAGAAGCATAATCCTCTTAGCCTAAGGATCAAGAAGACCTTCCAAAATACATTCACGATCTATTTTCTGTTTTTCTTTTAAAACAGGAACGAGTGTTCCAAGTAAGTGCAATTCAAAAGGTATACAGTCATTTACCTGTACTATAAGTTGGAATCGACTTGATGGCAACAGATTTAGTTTGGTTTTGGTTTTATATGCAGAATACCATTTAATCAAAATCAATTAACCAGATTTTTTAACTAATTAGTTAAAATTAAATCAAAAAAGTAAGAAAAGACGGTAATATCAGGGATTCATAAAAAAAAAAAAAAAAAAACCAAAAAACAACTTCTAGGCTATGTTTCCTGTAAAATAGTATGGGAAAGGATAAGGATTAAAAGGACCACTCAACGTTACAGCAAATTTTTCAAAGGTGGAAAGAGTACAAAAACTGTTTAAAATAATTTATCAAGGGTTGAAATAAATATGGGTTTCTGATTAACCTCTCAGATAAGCATTATGGTTAATTAAACCTGTTGCCGTGGAGTCAATTCCAACTCATACTGACCCTATAGGATAGAGTAAAACTGCCCCACAGGGTTTCCAAGTACTGTCTGATGGATTCAAACTGTCGACCTTTTGGTTAGCAGCCAAGCTCTTAACCACTGCACCACCAGGGCTCCTATGGTTAATCACCACACATAAATTTACCTATTTACATATCTATATATGCATATTCACTATTTACGTATCTCTCTCTCTATATATGTCTATATGTACACATCTACAGATCTATGTATATATCCTATAAAAATTTCTCCTCTGGAAATTGTTAATCCTGCCTTGAAGTTCTTTGAAAATCTGTAACTGAAGCAGAAAATTTTAAAAATTGAGAGTGTTCATCAACAAGAAAAAACATAAGCATATTAAATGTAACTTTTATAACCATAACCTCCCTTATAATAATAGTGAAGTATACTACTATAAATTATTTGTAAATTATTTTAACTATTTCAATATAAACTAAAAAATCTAACTTTTTGTAATAAAAATTTTGTGGTTCAGAATTTCAGGTATTTTTAAAGTAATGCATTATTTGAACTTTCTATGGAGACCTGAGAAGTAAAACCGAAAAACACCATTTATGAATACTACAATATATGAGTTGGAATTAACTCGACAGCAATGGGTTTAGTTTGGTTTTGGGTATGATACACCACATATACAGGAAATCCCTGACGATGTATTCGAGTTATGATAAATTGCGCTTGTGACTGTGTGTTTGTGTTTGTGTGTGTGTGTGCGCGCACACACTATCATTAGTAATATGTTCAAGCGTGTGATTTACTGTTATCTTTCTCAGATGTTCACTTGTAGATGTTCAATTTTATGATCTACTGTTCAAAACACTACTGGATTTATAAAGCTACTGATAATAAAAGGCAATAATAATGACAACTGAAAAAAGAAAAAGATGAAGTACTCGACTTATGTCAGAACTAACTTACAACTGAGTCATTGGAACAGAACGCCATCATAGGTTGGGGACTACCTGTAAAGGTTACTGAATATTTAAGAAAATCCGAGAGTCATGGGATGGGGGTGAACTTCTCCAACCCTACTTTTTAGTTATATCATAACAATGAGTTAAGCAATGTATACAAGCATTTTTGGATAATATTCCATTCAAATTTCAAGTTTTACTATCAGAAATAAAACAAGATCTATAAGAAACCTATGTTTTTGAAAAATAGTTTTTTCACTTAATATTAAAATTTCCTCAAAGACCAAAATATATTTTAAATGTAATTATTTTTTATACCTTAAGTTCAATCAACCCTTACAATTTTTTTAAGTGAGTATATAGGATTAAATAAACATGCCTGATCATACTAACATTTTTCAGCTAATCTGGAAAAATTAACTGGAAAGAAAAAATTTTATCTTCATTTGAGAAATTACAAAGTACAATGCTTTAAATTTTTTCTTAAAGGAAAACAAAATTTCGAACCATGGAAACAACTGGCTCCAGAAGTTTATCACCAGGGACATCCATCCATGTCATTTCAATGGCACCAGGATCACCCGGGGAACAGGGCGTTAGCAGATCATCTACCATGTTGTTAGGATCAGCTCTTGAAGGTCCACAAACCTGGAATAAATAATAATCTGAAATATTAGCAATATTAGTACCAGATTCTGATCAAGGATTTTCTAATTACATCAAAGGCAGTTTTATAATGACACGTTTACATTTGTACACTTAAGTAAAATATTAATACACAGATGCTTCAAAAATCATTCGAGAAAACTTTTAAATATTTTAAGACTATTAATAATGTCTATTAATAAACTAAATATAGCTTGAGAACTTACTTTCAACAAAAAAGAAATACTTCTATTATGTAGCCCACTTACAGTACTATTACACAAAATTGAAACTGCTCCAAATACCTTTGAAGAGAAACCAATGATGGTCTCAAAACTTGATTTAAGCAATATATGTGAAAGGACAGATGAAAGTTACTTACCGTTTTTTTTTATTCTGTTGTGCTTCAGGTGAAAATTTATAGCTCAAGTTAGTTTCTTATTCAAAAATTTATGCACATAATGATTACAATCCCCACAATGTGACAGCACTCTCCCTCTATCCACTCCAGGCTCCCCATGTCCATTTGTACAGTTTTCCTATCTCTTCCTGCCTTCCCGTCTTGCTTTAGGGCAGGAGTTGCCCATTTAGTCTTGTATATCAGATTGAACTAAGAAGCATGTTCCTCACATGTGTTATTGTTTGTTATATAAGCCTGTCTAATCTTTGTCTGACAAGTGGGCTTTGGGAGTGGTTTCAGTTCTGAGTTAGCGGACTGTCTGGGGGAACTTTACCTTTTTAAAATGAGTAGCTGACTGCACTTTTCTTACAGGCTGCATAAGTGCATCTCGCACAATGATACTAATATCTGCCCCTGAATAACCATCAGTTTTATTTCCAAGGTCTTGGAAGTCTTTTTCTGTTAGGCTGTTCTGAGTGGCCCCCAAGTGCAGTTTAAACATTGCTGCTCGTGCATGGGCCTCAGGCAAAGGAATATAAATTCGTTTCTCAAACCTGAAAATGAAAGAAAAAATATATCATGGATATGAATACATATATTAATATGTACGTATATATATATATCTTTATCTTTAATTTTATTTAAAAATTATTTAAAAATTAAAATATTTCCAAGAAGAAACAAGATATTTAAATATTCTCAACTATATAATTAGAGGCATTGGTGGTTCAGTGGTAGAATTCTCGTCTTCCACAAGGGACAGCAGGTTCGATTCCCAGCCAATGCACCTCATATACAGCTATCACCCATCTGTCAAGTAGAGGCTTGCGTGTTACTATGATGCTGAACAGCAGAGCTTCCAGACTAAGATAGACTAAGAAGAAAGGCCTGGCCATCTATGTCTGAAAATCAGTCAATGAAAACCATATGGGTCACAATGGTCTGTTGTGTATGAATAATTAATAGTATGTTTTATTAATAATTTTGCTTTCCTTCTTAGAATTTCAGTATTTGGAGATAAGGAGGAAGCGATGACGAACAATTTAAGTCGTCTGTTCAGACTCTTTTTCTCCAGGTAACCTTCTGTGGTGATGAGAAGAATTTAAAGTTCCTATCATCTCTAGAGATGGGGTCAGAATTAGGTCATTTTTCAAAAATACCCACCACATTTCCTTCCTTTGTATTGAATGGTAATCTAGCCTTCTGGGAAACCATCAAGTGACTGGGATAAAAATGGCAAAAACGGAAGCACTAATTTTTGCCATGTAAAATTAAATGAAAGGAACACAAGGAGTACATTAGCCCAAGAGACAGAAAGGGCCACATAAACCAGACACTTCATCAGCCTGAGACCAGAAGAACTAGATGGTGCCTGGCTATCATCAATGACTGCCTTGACAGGGAACACAACAGAGTCCCTGATGGAGAAGGGGAAAAGTAGGGTGCAGACCTCGAATTCTAGTAAAAAGACCAGACTTAATGGTCTGAGACTAAAGGAACCCCAGAAAGCATGGCCCCGGGCTCTGTTAGCCCAAAACTAAAATCACCCGAGGCCAACTCTTCAGACAAAGATTAGACCAGACTATGGGACATAAAATGATACTCGTGAAGAGTGTGCTTCTTAGCTCAAGTAGATACATGAGACTAAATGGGCAGCTCCTGTCCAGAGGTGAGATGAGAAGGCAGAGAGGGTCAGGAGCTGGTTGAATGGACACGGAAATTCGGGGTGGAAAGGAGAAGCGTGCTGTCACAGTATAGGGAGAGCAAGTAGGGTCACATAACAATGTATGTATAAATTTTTGTATGAGAGACTAACTTGAATTGTAAACTTTCACTTAAAGCACAACAATAAAATAACTAAAGGAGCAGGCAACTGTGATGCAGTGAAAAATAAATAGTCTACATACCTTTCCTACAGCTGTGAAGTTTCATATTTATTTTAAAAATAAGAGACAAAATTTTGAACTAAAAGTATATCTTGGTTATCTTACTTTGATGTGTATAATTGTCATTTTGCTAAAATTTTATATGAAGGCTTTTCACTGAAACATCAAACTATATATGTAAATTTCTGCAGTATCAGTGTCCACTAAGGTGAGCCAACTGAAAAAACCAAACCCGTTGCCATCAAGTCGATTCCGACTCGTGGCAACTCCATGTATTTTAGACTAAAACTGAGTTCCATAGGGTTTTCTTGGCTGCAATATTTATGGAAGAAGATCACCAGGCCCTTCTTCTGTGCTGCTACGGGGTGGGTTCAAACCACCAGCTTTTAGGTTAGTAGTTGAGCATAAACCCTTTGTGCTACCCTGGAACTAAGGTAAGCGATAAAACGAAAAACCAAACCAGTTGCTGTCGAGTTGATTCTGACTTACAGCAACTCTACCGGGCAGGGTAAGCATTAGGTAAGGTATTTCCCAATGTGAAATATTCCAGTATGTGGACATCGCGTTTCTTCAATATTAGTAAGCAAACAAACAAACAAATGCCTGTCTCTTCTCCCCATGGTAGAGGTCAACAAGGTAAGGACCATTAAAAATATCCTTAAAAATTATCAGAATACCTCCTCACTAGACACAATGGGAATTATCATTTACTTGTTCTATCTTGAATCAGGAATAAGAGATTTACTGTGTCCTCATACCTTCGCCTAATGGCAGAATCCAGAACCCAGGGTATATTTGTAGCTCCCAGGACCAAAATTCCATCATTGTCCACACCAACCCCTGTATCAAAATAGGTAGTGTTTTAAGTAGTTGACCACTTTAGTGTTCTTTAAACCTCCTCTGTATGTCCTGTTAAGAATACCAAACCAAACTCGTTGCTGTTAAGTCGATTCTGACTCATAACGACCCTACAAGACAGAGTAGAACTGCCCCATGTGGTTTCCAAGGAGCAGCTGGTGGATTTGGTTAGCAGCCTAAGCTCCTAACCACTGTGCCACCAGAGCTCTCCTGTTAAAAATTGTGGTGCTTTTAATGTTAAAGTAGCCTCATCTTGAGAACGCTGTACTTAATAGAATATTGTATTACTAAAATAGGATAAAAATATTTCCAAGATCAAATCTCCTAGATTTGTGGACAAATAATATTCTTTTCAAAACATTTCTTGAAAGGTTTCGTTTGAAGTCTACATATTACTTTCACTGATGTTATTCCTAGTATGTTATAAGTGAGTATGTTATTCATTTTACTGTTTTTACCAGTGAGTCCTACAAGGTGATTACAGCTGGGTAAAAACTATGTGTGCACCCAGAGGGCAATTAGAACGAGATGGCCTACTGAAGCAGCTGAGTCTGTTAAAATAAAGAAATTCTGCTTGAATTATTTTTCCATTATTGTTATCTAATACTGGTTATAAAATAAATAGAAACTTTAAAAAATCAGTAATATTACCTTGCATTTGGACTAGGAACTCTGTCTTAATTCTGCGCGCGGCTTCACTTTCATTTTCACTTCTTGAAGCACACAAAGAGTCAATTTCATCAATGAAGATAATGGAAGGTTTGTTCTCTCTGGCAAGTTGGAATAAGTTCTTAACAAGCCTGGAAATAAACAAAAACTTAGAATTCCTAAAAAACAGTTAAAAAAAATACTTAAAGACTAAAGCAACATAAACATGCCAATATTCCAGGAGCTCCAAGGGTTAAAAAGCTGATAATGCTTCAGTATAGGAAATAAGAAGAATCTGCTACTGAGTAATCCACTTTACCACTTATCAAGTTACACGTGTTATCTCTTCTCTATGAAATAGACTCTAAACTAGGATCTGATCCAACAGAGATATGAATACATATGTCACTTCTCTGAATGTCTATCAATGATGTAAGAAAACTATTACCTTAGTGCCTGGTTATTTAAATATTTAAAAACTGTATTAAAAAAACTTTTAAAATATTCTTTACTTTCATGCTGTAACTCTTAAAAGTCTCCCTAATTTCTTAACTATAATATTTCATACAAATAACTATCAGACCAAAAAAAAAAAAAACTTAAAAAATAAATCGACTTAATATACTACTTACTTTTCACTTTCACCTAGCCACTTAGAAACAAGGTCAGAGGAAGATAGTGAAAAAAATGTTGAGTTGTTTGCTTCTGTTGCTACAGCTTTGGCTAAATAGGATTTTCCTGTTCCAGGTGGCCCAAATAATAGGATGCCCCTCCATGGTGTTCTCTTGCCTAAAATTTATGCATTAGAAAAATAACATCAGAATTTTGAGACTGAGAATTTCAGTTACATAGACATCATCCACACTAAAGAATACTGTGAAGAGGTTTTCACTCTAAAGCTATCAATAAGAATAAAAAATATTTTAAAAATCACTCTAAGCTAAGCATGTCTTGAAGTGTATTTTATTTACTATTTTTAGAGACCACTTCGTCAAAAGTGTGCTTAGGTAGATATAATTCTTCTAATAGGCAGCTCATTCGCTTGCTTGCTCACTCATTCATTCAACCAGTATGTCGGTAAATCACAATGTGCAGACAGTGACCTATGCAGACAAAAGGACCTCCACCCACCTTGGGCTGACAGTGTAGTCGGGGAAAACAGTTCGGTCAAAAGGCCCTTCCTGATCATCTACTGTGTGCACTCCTCCGCACCAGAATGTTGTAGGAGAAAATATATCCACAGGGGGAAAAGCAACTGCAAATCTTTTTAAATATGTATGACTTTTGCAGGAGTAAATGCAACACAGTTTGGATGACTTGCAAAGTTCTAGTCAATTCTTGATTCCACAATGAAACACAGGTAGCAGATTCTCATTCAAATGGGTAGGTAATGGTAAGAGGATGACCTTACATCCTAGTTTTGCCAAAATATAACAAGCAATCAAGTCTCAATTTTTCAAATGAGAAATGATATTACTGCCTAAAATGAACTGCGCTAGGTTACAGCTGACAATAAAATATCAAATATGCATTTAAAAGATTGCTACATGCAAATGTGGATGGGTATACAGTGTTGGCAAAGGATAAAATACTAATCACTAATGGCAAAATATTGTTAGACTTATTGTTATGAAAGCCTCAACTTTTACTTGAATTATATTTTCTTAATTTAAATGTATGCAATTATAAATCAGTGTCCACCTAACTGTGGCAGATACACCACAGGTGGCATATGAAGCACTTTTAGGTGGTATACAAATTTTATTTAAATAACTATTTTATCATTTAAATAATTATTTAAATATTTTATTATTGTTATTTAAATAAGCACATTTTAACATGCATTAGGAGAACACTAATTTTTCATTTTATAGTAGATACAAAGCAGCCTTTTAAAATCAAAGTATTATGAAAAATGAACGAGATGATTTAAAAGTTCAAAGACTGGCAAAATAATCGATGGACAGAGTGGTCGCCTCCGGAGAGGAAGGTGGGTAGGGACTGGAAAGAAGCGGACGGGGGCTTCTGGGTGATGGTGATGTGCTATTTCTTGACCTGGGTGATGATTACACAGGGGTACTTACTTTGTGACAATGTGTTACACTGAACACTATGGGTCTGTGTACGTCTCTGTGTGCTTATGCTATACTTTAATAAAAAATTTATTTTAAAAAGTGACTTAAAGAAAAATATTAGAAAATAATGCTACATATATATGGCAAAGTTTATGAAAATGACACATAAGTGACTCAGATTTGGGAAACACTGACATATGTAATAAAACACAAAATGAGTTCAATAGTATGTTTGTACCTTTACAGGATTATGATGCCCACTTTTACACTTAGTTTCACATTCCTGAAGTTAGGCTGCAAGTCGTACGGGAAGCTAGGTGGACAATGTGCAGTGCTCTCCATCACTGCTCTACACGACAGCACTGTCTGGACCTGTTTAGTTTGAAGTCAACATCACGGACTTGCTCTCTACACAAACCAGTTTGTTTTCAAAAGGAAAAACCTCTGCTTCTCTGTTAGACAGCGGGTACAGCCCTATCACAGACACAGGCTACCAGTCACAAAGAGGACAGCGTGAAGGAATGGCTCAGCACAGACACATCCCTTACTGCTGGGACTCTCACGCCAACTCCCTGCAGATGGGAGGCAGCAGCATTCTCCAAACGGGAACAATGAGCTGTCCCTTTGCTACTAGAGGAGAAGTACTTTATCTGAAACTGATCAACTATTCTGACTCCTCTTTGAAAAAATGGAAAAAGATTTTCATAATACTAATACATGCCCACTGTACAAAATTCGGATGAAAAAAATCCCCTCCACAGAAAAGGTTAAGAATCACACGTAATCTTATCACCTAGACACGCATTAACATTTTCCTGTCCATCCATCTACAGTTACTTCTCAGCACACATTTCTGTAACAAAATGGATCATACTATACATATCTTACAACTTGCTTTTTGCTTTTAATATATCACAGACATTCTTCCGTGTCAGTAAATTATAATGTAGATCTACAATATAATTTTTAATGTTCACATAGTATTCTACTGCCTGACAGTGAACTGAATTGCCCCAGCCCCTACTGGTGGACTTTTAGGTTGTTCTGCATTATATACGTATTTTAAAAAAGAACAAACATCTTCGTGTAAAGATGCAGCACCTCCTTATTAACAATCAGAATTTAAGGTAATAACCCAAGATGTGGTAGACAAGAACTCACAATGCTTGACCTTAGTCATCAATGTGTTCTTTCAAAAATCATCAGATAAAATTATGTAACAGTCACCTCACCCGTAAACAGATGCGGGAATTTAATAGGCAGTATCACGGCCTCTTTAAGGGCTTCTTTGGCTCCTTCAAGACCAGCAACATCGCTCCACTTCACATTTGGTCGCTCTATAACAATGGCACCTACAAAAAAGCATGTCATCTTTAAATTAAGACTGTTATCAAGTTTAGAAGACAACATGAAATAATGATGTTAAAGAAATGCATTATAAAATTGTCTGGTGAACTTTTATGTGTTAAAAAACTTTATGAAATAGTGTGATGACTGAATACAATCAAACACTTTGAGGGACAGAGTAGCAGAGGTAGGGGCCTGGGAACCATGCTTTCAGGGGACATCTAGGTCAACTGGCATAACAAAGCTTATTAAGAAAATGTTCTGCATCCTACTTTGGTGAGTGGCGTCTGGGGTCTTAAAAGCTTCCAAGCGGCCATCTAAGATGCATCAATTGGTCCCAACCACCTGGAGTAAAGGAGAATGAAGAACACCAAAGACATAAGGAAAGTATTAGCCCAAGAGACAGAAAGGGCCACATAAACCAGACTTCATCAGCCTGAGACCAGAACTAGATGGTGTCCGGCTACCACCAATGACAGCCCTGACAGGGAACACAACCGAGAGTCCCTGATGCAGCAGGAGAAAGGTGGGGTGCAGAACTCAAATTGTAGTAAGAAGACCAGACTTAATGGTCTGACTGAGACTGGAGAATCCCCAGACAGCACGGCCCCTGGATTCTCTAACAGCCAGAACTAAAACAATTTCCAAGGCCAACTCTTCAGACAGGGATTGGACTGCACCGTGGGACATAAAGTGATACTTGTGAGGAGTGTGCCTCTTAGCTCAAGTAGATACAAGAGACTAAATGGGCAGCTTCTGTCTGGAGATGAGATGGAAAGGCAGAGAGGGTTACAGGCTGGTTGAACGGACACGGGGAATCGGGTGGAAAGGAAGAGCGTAGTGTCACAGTATGGGAAGAGCGATTAGGGTCGCATAACAAGGTATGTATAAATTTTTGTATGGGACACTAACTTCATTTAAACTACAACAATTAAAAAAAAAAAAAAAGAAAGAAAGAAAAGAAATAGTGTGATGAAGCATTTGTCAGGAAGAGTCAGAAGCCTGCGTGGAGCAGCCAGATAACCTAGGGTGAGTCCCCTGACCTTTCTATCTCGGCTTCCTCATTTGTGAAATGAAAAGAATACCATCTGCCCAAACTACTTAGGTGGGCTAGTGTGAGGTTCAAGTCACACAATGAATATTAGAGTGCTAGAAAAAGCATCAAACATTACACAAAGTGCCTATAATATTTGAATACAGTGATTCTCGAGTATCAAAAGAACTCATTCAATGGCACTGACCTACTATTCCTCCTTTTCACCAAGAGAAAAGGTGATTTAATGCTCTCCTTAACCACAAAAAGAAAATATGCTTAACTGAAGACAGAAGAGAGGAGAGGGCAAGGGAGATAAGAGATGGGAGAAAGAGAAGAGGATGAGGGAGAAGAGAGAAAAAGTATATCCTAGTAGGTTTGCAATACTTTCCAGAGATTTGCTAAACTTTCTATTTGGCGCTTCAACAGACTTATCAAAGCTTTCCTAATTTTCCAGTACACAGAAACTGCTCACCTACAAACTACTAACCAGCTTGTTCTAAAATGAAGTATAGCCATTTTAAGTGTAACAAAATACCACCACTTGCACAGTCTAATGATACTGTTTAGAATTACTTTTATAGGTCATTTCTTCTTGTTAGGAAAGATCACTTATTTATTACTCTAAGACTAGTTATAATCCGCAACTTATGTCACAAAATTATGAAAATCTTTAGTCAGTAGATTAAAATGAAATGAAACCACTAATTTTTTTGCATTCTATAAGTAAGTTCAGACTAAGTATAAAGTAAAAAAAACTCAATTCCCTTTTCCCTATGTTCCATTCAGATTACTAACGCTACATGAAAAAATATTTACATCATACAATAGGATTTTGTGTCAATTAAATGAAAATAAATTTACCTTACATATGAGCATCATCTCATTAACTCAAGATTTTTGCTATGAATTTAAGAAATATGCCATAATTTACCTTCACATTTAACTAATACTTTTCTCCTTAAAGCTAAAAGGTGACTTTGGAATGTTTAGTGATAAAAAGATTATTTAAATACTAGCAATATTAATTACAAGGAGCCCTGGTGGCCCAACGGTTAAGTGCTCGGCTGCAAAGCAAAAGTTTGGTGGTTTGAACCCACCCAGCGACTCTGTGGGAGAAAGGCCTGGCAATCCGGTTCTGTAAAGAATACAGCTTAGAAAACCTTATGGGCCATTCTAGTCTGTCACATGGGGTCACTCTGAGTCAGAACTGACTTGACCACACCCAACAATAACACATTAATTACTAGACATGACTTAATGGTTTGTAAAATTTTAAAAAGGGCTATTGGAAAATAGAATTAAAACGTTGTCTGTACTTCCAATTATGTAAATTTACATTTGATTATACTATTATCTAAAAAAAAAGCTACTGAATATCAAAATAAACTAACAGAAAACTCAAATCATAAACCCATTTTTATTTTTAACAATCAAATATTACACTTAATGTCATAACCTAAAACAGAAGTAAAAGATTTAAAATACTGTTTCAGGAAAAATCTAAAAAAGAGGATATTACACTGTGAAATCCATCAGCAAGCTATTAAATTAAAAGATGGACAAAAAAGAATCTCAGGTACGAAAGGCGCAGACTCCTTTCGTATTCCATGTTCATCCTGAAATTCCAAATAAATTCCTTACTTAAATGTTTTAAGGATTCACATTTTTCTGTATCTCTGGCTCTTATCATAACTGATAGGGAATTTAAAGAAAAGTCCTGCACTAAAAACGGCTATCTTTTTCAAAATTAATGATACAATTTCCAATTCTTATTGTGGAGAGTGAGGAGAATGAGGAACAAAACCAGAACCCAAAGAACAGAGACAGAAAATGGCTTTTTGCCTTACAATTGAAATAAGGCCACTTGGCATGGGCCACCAGGTCGCCCAACAAATACTTACTGAGAACCTAGTGTGTGCCAGCCCTGCTCTGGCAGTGGGTGCAGAAGTGGAAGCTCAAAGTTCTGCCCTTGGATTATATCCAGCATTGAATTTCCTGGCATATAAAAATGCTCTCTATCCTAATTAACTGTACTATTTTCAAGATATGATCCTGAATATAGTATCCTAATGACTGTATTCTCCTATACATCCCAGTGGGGCTGGAAAGACAAATATCACCAAAATGAAGAGACCAGCATAGCAGTGGTCAAGGCCTGGCCAAGCCTGGCTGAGCTTATATAATGGAAATCCTTCCCAGTTGTACATTCTATTCATTATGATTCAGATGAAGAAAATACATATTACTGATAACTGAGCATAAAAGTCAACTTGAGAAAATCATTAATTAACATCCAAAGAACAATCAAATCAGAGCAATCAAAGAAGCCAGTAATTACACACACCCTTTAGATACATAAGAGCTACCATTTATTGAGCCCTCAGAATTTGTCAGATAAAACATTAGGTAGTTTTACATTGTCATTAATCTCCAAATAGCCCTGAACACAAGACGTTATTAATTTCCATTTTAGAGATGGGGACTCAGACTCTGAGAGGGTAGGTAACTCGTCCAAGATTAGACATCTTTTGAGTAGTGGGTCCTGGAGTGGATCTAGATCTGAACAGAGCCCAAGTCCACGCCCTTTCCATTGTGTCATTCTACGAGAGGAGAGTAGAATAAAAGGGCTTTTGTAGGTGTGGAAGGTAAAAACGGAGAGCTTAAAGAGAGAAACGTACATGGAACACTGAATGGACAGGGAGACGACATGAAATAAACCATCAATGAACAGCTACAGCAACACTAGCAGTAACAAAAGCCAACTGGAAATCCTAATTCTTTCTGCTGTTTTGACAGTTGGTTATAAAAACACCAACAGACTTTGCAGTGTGCTGATAGTATAAATGCTACCTTCTGTAAGAGGGGGCAAGTAAGACAAAACAAAAGAGAACAAGCTGACTGAGAGCCTTTTTAAGGGAGACATAAAACCAAACAATATTTTTAGTACATGAGGAAAAAAAACTAGAGACCATAGAGAGCAAACTCTATTGAAAGTGCTTTCAACACAGCCAGCATGTGACAACTGGGGACCAAAGCACATGCGTATGTACAATTCAAATAAGCAATTCACTGTAAGTCTGTTCAATAAGATATTAATTCAAAAATAAGATCTAAAGCAACCTTGAAGCTGGTTCTGTAGTTTCTTTTTTTCAGGATCATCAGATTCTCCTTCCCCATCACTGTCATTCCTAATAAAAAGAATTTGATATATTCAAATGATCACTCATTGCTAGCAAATAAAATAAAGCAAAAATGAAGACTAACCTGAAATATTTAGAATTTAAAGAACAAAATAAGACTCATTAGAAGTTATGCTTGTTTTACTATTTTTAGGAATACATTAACTAAAATGGTAAGCAGATACATTACTCATCAACACAGAATTATGAACAGGAAAGGGACAAAAAGACCAGAATAAAGTCAGGTACTAGCTCCAGATTCCCATAACATACCTATGTATGTATTAGTATATAAATACAAGCCCCACATCTCATTCCACAAATGATTTAAGATGACTTACACTGAATTCGTAAGCAGTAACAATAAAAAAAATCAGAAACAGGCAAAAATGAATTAGAACAAGAAGCTGTAACTCTGAGGAAAAAAACCAGAACATTTATTATCTAAGGTACAAAGGTCTACAACACTTAGTTTGGGGGTTTAGATAGATAAAGCTTCCTGATGAATATGGACTGAGCCCAAAAAACAGTAAGATCAACCCAGGCACTTTATATCTAGGAATTTATCCTGAGAAAACAATTTAAAATGAGTTCAAGGATTTGACTACAAAGATAATCATGGCAGCACTGTTCATAACAAGGAAAAAATAGAAATAACGGATGTTCAAATTATAGGGATTAGCATATGATTGAACATACTACAACCTTTATAAACGATGTTATAGAAATAATTTACTGGAAAGATGTTCATGATACAACGTGGAGTGAAAAAGTAATAACTATGGCATCATACCATTTTTTCATAGACAACATAAAGGTGAATAAAAAGCATGACAGATTTTATCTCAAAATGGGACTGTTCTGGTAATCTTAGGATGGTGGGATTATAGGGAGGCAGATGGTACAAACCATGCTTTCTTGTACTGTAAAGGCTTATTCTTATAAAAACTGCCATCCCTAGGCTCCCTTGCAGCTAGCGTTCCACATGAGGCTTAAGTTCCACCAAGAAGACACAGGTATGCACTACTTAGAAGGAAGACAAAAGCAAAATGAGGTGGGGGCTGCACACCAGGAGATCCTACCTGGCGAAAGCACTGGTTTTGCTGAGAGAGCTGCAGCAGAGGTCTACTGAAGGCTCCCTAGCATCAGTGCTTGGCAGGGGAGCTGGCAGCAGTGGAATCACTACTAGAACAACTCTGTTACAGCTGGGACTTCTCCTAGCTACATGGAAACCAGGCTTGATTCTTTAGCCCAAAAATTCTGCAGGTAATACCCCATAACGAATAGCTTTTTGTTTAAATTAGCCAAAGTGGGTCCTGCCGTAGAATGGCTGTTTGATACAGAAGAATTGGCATCCCTCTGCTAGGTGATCACCTCAGGCAAGGTCGTCACAGGGTCTTCAAGACCGGAAGAGCTTCCACAGACAGGGGAAGAGATCATGTTTCTGCTGGCAAGGGTGTCTCAGGGAGACATGGGGTTCTGGGCACTCAGTCAACTGCATTCTTTTCAATATTTTAATTCCAAGTTTGGAGTACCAATCTTCTAATAAATGCCCTAACTTTCATATAAGAAACCTGGCAAAGTTCAACCTATGCTGAAATTCAATAATCCACAAGTTCAGACTGCGGTCTGATTTTTCTTCTGTTAGTGCTATGGCTTCAGAAGATAAAATACTCTCAAGTGACACTGAAACTCCTTGGCCCTGGATCACTGTCTTGAACAGAGAATATAAAACCTTCCGCTTGTAATTTTCAAACTCTTCCAGGTAGTTTGAAGCAGCCAGTCAACTCCAGTTCTTATAATCTTCATGTGCTTTGAAACAGTCTATGGTAGCTGCCACAAAGCCCTCAAAGCACTTCATTCCTGGCGACCAGAGGGGATTACCTAAGTAACTTGGCACCTGCATATCCTGAACTAGGAGTATTACATCCCCTAAAGCTAGCCAGAACCTCTTTGCTTTCAAACCCAACCAGACCAGATAACCTCAGCTCAGATTCTCATTTCTTGAGTTTGTCATCTGGAACCATCTCTGGTACCAATTAATAATGGTCAGAGAGGATCTGGTTAGAATTTGTATACTCTGCTTAGCTCAGAGCTTGGCATTCATATATTAGCTATTGAATAACTAAATTCTGCATCTGTAAGTGATATATCCGCCACCTACAGATATTCCAAAAATGGGTTTTAATGTGTATAAATTATGTTTGTTGCAACTCTAATTCAAATCTACACTGAATAATTTTATATAAGAAATTCCAAACTTTACGACTGAAGTTATTTTTCATATTGTCCATGTGGTTAGTATTCACTAAGAGCCTCACTAGTCAAAGGGCTAATTCACAGATCACTACCATAATTTTAACTTCAATATTACATAACGGCTGGGAAAAAATGTTTTCCCCTTTTACTAGCAAGCATCATACAAAGCTACTTGAACTTTATCATCCGAAAAGCTTGTTTAAGCTAGGTGTCAGCAAACTTTTTCTTTAAAGGGCTACACAGTAAATATTCTAGCTTTGCATGCCAAATGGTGTCTGTTGCAACTACTCAACTCTGCCATTATAGCAAGAAAGCTGTCATAGAGAATAGGTAAATGACTGGGTGAAGCTGTGTTCCAATAAAACTTTATTTATACAAAAACAGGAAGCCGATCAGATTGGCCCTTGGGCCATCCATAATTACCAACATCTGGTTTCAGTAAAGGAAATTTCACAAATTAAAAATTAAAAGATACAATAAAATCTAACACTCTAAAATACATACCCCTTATCCTCAGCTGGACTTGGTTGTCCCTCTTTCACTGGCTTCTGTGGTTTTTTCTCTTTCTTTTTCAGGTATTCCTTTAGTTTTTCTGCTCTATCAAGATATTCTGTACACTTTGCCCTGATACTCTGCTTGGCTTTATCACCTTGGGCTTCATCTATTGAAGGGAAATGAGAGAGGTTTTTCCATTGGTATTCTACACAGCAAAGGTTTAAACTCTTAAGAAATACTTTATTTAAACAAGGAAAATCTATTTTGGGAGAGGGAGAGAAGAAAGATCATCTCTAGCTCATCATAATCAGTGATTATCAACTCTTTTCTACTCCTTTCCAGAGCAGGGCCAGAGGCCAACACTGGGTTTGAGTCAGAAAGTGATCTAAGCAAGACAGCAGGACATTTTAAGTTGGTATTAAACAATAAAAAGAAATTATTTAATATTCTGTAGGTTTTAAACTCCTATATTTAGTGCATACAGTTGAAAACTGCTTGTCTCACACAAAACCAATTATAAGAAAGACAAAGTAAAGCAATATTAACCATCTCCATTAATGTCTACCAAGTTTTATTTCAGAGTATAAAAAGTGAGGGAAATCCCATACATTATGTGCACCACCAATATAGTAATTTCACTTCATAAAGACCTCTGCCAGGCTATTTTCAGAAGTGGACTTCAGCAGTATGTGCAGTGCATTGGACTAGCCCCACATAACTTTGCAAAACCACAACTTACTGTTATGATTCATTCTTAGTTTAGCTTTGACAGAAAACCTCAAACAGAAATCTTAAATGATCTAAAGGCCAAATTTTTTTTTTTTTTTAAATAACTTTAAGTTTACCAAAAAGATGTCCTTTTTTAACACACAGAGCTCCTAATTCATAGGTTCAGCATTAGGTTTAACATCCATGAGGGCAGGAGTTGTTATCTAATTTTTCCTCGCTATTTTATCGCCAGTGCCTAGAACAGTGTTGCACACAGTAAACATGTACTACATATTTGTAAAATACATGAAAAAAAATGTCTGCCGACCTATTTTTTAAAAGGAATATTCTCAAACAGATGCTAAGCAAATGAGTAAGTTCAGATTATATAATTCGGGTGCGTTATCAGTAAAATAAAAAACGATCCCCATTGACTAGCTGACATTTTAAGACGGTCAGGTGCACAAAGTAGTAACTGCAATTGCCGTGCACGTTTGTTAGTTAATCCTGAGTACAGCACTTAAAAGTCACTAGAAAGTGGGGAATTTTTCAAATGGATGGTTTAGAATTTTCTGGCATTATACTGCAATTTTTATTAAATACAATAGAATACTTTTTCTTCAAAAATGTTTTTAAATAAAAAAATAAACTGCATACATTTAACTACATGGAGAAAATACTGCACAGCATGTTGATAGAGCTGAAGGGCTTCCTCATAGTTCCCGGCTTTGTCCTCTTGTGCTGCTTTGCTAGCAAGGTCTATGGCTTTCTGTCGAAGAAAGGCAAAACAATACTGTTAAAGGCAAAACATAAGCTGTCGGAAGTGAATCGTATTGAAAGCTGTTGTTTCCTTTTTACATTAAAGCAACCTTAAGACAAATTCCCTGCTTGCTACCATTCGTATTCGAGTATTTCCAGTTCAGCCCTGGCTCCCTCGTTCTACACAAGTATCCCACTGCTCACTGGACATTTCCACTTCAATGTCCCCACAGGCATTTCACATTTAGAAAGTTTAGAACTGAACTTATTTTGCTCCCCAATCTCTATCCTCTGTATTCCCAGAACCAAATCCTACCCACTCAGGTATCCAATACAGAAATCCAGGATAAAGCCCAGACTCCTCTTCCCTTGCTTTCTTAATGCAGATCCACGCCTGACTAGTATCCCTCTTACATCTTTCTCCTATCAATCCTCTCCTCTTTATTCTAACAGACACCACACTAACTTGGCCCCTCACCATCTCACATTTCACAGAACCCTGCCTCTCACTGGTCTCCCTGCTTCCAGGCTTGCTACCAGTCAAGTTTTTCTAAAACAAAAACCTGACCACAGTACTCTGCTGTTTAACCCTTTTTGTTCTCAGGGGTACCTCTAGGGACCAAGTACTTTTTCTGCCTCTGAAGGTTTATTGGGAAGCTGCTGCACCACTGATAGTGTGTGCTAGTACAAGGCAGAGGCCTTTATGACTTTGAAACCAAAGAAACGGGTGTATGCTGCAAATTACTGTTTTTACAGGGTATTGTACGATGTGTCTAAATTTTTGGTAGGAAAAATAGAAATTTTGAAAATTTTTATCAGTTACACACATGTCCCAACAGACTTCGGTGGGGACTAAGGGGTGTAATTAGTGGTACTTCCTAAAGCGTACGCTTGTGGGAGGGGGCAAGAAAAAAAAGACTATACTATCTACCAAAAATTCAGACACACTCAATGATTTAGCATGCTTCCCTTAACCAGAACACATGGTATCAACAAAAAATTCAAAGGAGAAAATAATTGGTTCATGAAAAGATTATAACCCATCTGCACCCCCCGCCCCCCTGCCCCGCCATGGCGGCACGAAGACCAGTCTTTTACGAGTAGCACACAAGGCTCTTCGTGATGTGGCCTAACTTCAGCCTCATCCTCCTACTTGGCACACTAAGTTCCAGTCATAACAATCTACTGGCCCAACTTGGACCGATTCAGACCTTGGGCCCAGCATGCAGTGTATCTCCACCTGGAATTACCAATTCCATATGTCTCCCTGTAAAACTCCAACTTCTCCAAGACGCCATGCAGACATGCTCCTCCTGCCCCTAGGGTGGCCTAGCCTACCCCTCTTCTGGGTTTTCACTGCCTTTTGTACATAAGTCCAATGACGACAAAGTGTCGCTGCCTAGCGAATTATTGAACCCAGAGGAGTAGTGAGAGTTCGCAGTTCAGAAGTGAGGGGCATCTGGGGACTCCTGAGGATACAGCTGGCATCCTAAGGTGGGAGAGGGGACCTGAATTTATAGCCAGCAGGTCAGAAGTGAGGGTGTTATGGGTACTTCAAGCTTGTGGCTGGTGTCTTTGGGTCTTGGGTAGACTTGACGGTCTGGATGGCTGTGTGCTTTAAATTTGTGAGATCTGACCCAGCTGTGACTGGTTAGGGTCAGAGAAGAAATACCATGTGTGTAGAACAGAATACATTTGATTTGTATTGACCAATTTCCCTTGCACACTGTATTACTTTCACTTTTTCCCTGACCCTCTCCAAGGTTTACTATACTTTTGGACTGAGATATATGCTGTTTTTCTCTGCCTAGAATGCAGCTCCCTTCCTTTTATAGTGAAAAAAGCACAAACTTATAACCAGAAGACCTGTATGCAAAACTATCCTCAACACTGTGTCTTTGGGCAAATCATGACTTGAGTAAGCCTCGGATTCTTATACTCTAAAATGGAATATTCATTTTGAAGAGTTGTTTTGAGGATTAAACGATATCACATCAAACACCTAGCAGACAATTAGCATTAACAGCTTTCTCTTCATCTAAGCTCACATCACCTCCTCTGTTAAACATTTCTCGTATGTCCTTGGAAGAGTTAGATGTGCCCTTTCTTTCTGCCCTCCAACACTAACCTCTAATTCCATTATAGCATTTGTTGCATTATTTTATAATTTTAATTTCTGGTTATCTGCATTTCTCATTAGATTGATAAGCATCTGGCTCCAAGGATTTTTGCCTTGTTCTATGGGAAACTTATTTGAATATTTGTTCTCCAAATTTCCTAGGTTAGAAGGGTGAGAAGACCGAATGGGAAAGAGCACCTCTAAACTGACTACTAATAAAATTATAACTCAACGTCCCTCCTTGTTTAACCTAACAACTGTCCCTAACCATCCCTTTAATACTGGTCCATCTCTACCTGGTTCCTGATGAACATTCAACAACTTAATCCCAATATGATGCAAACTGACTGTAAAAGGAAACTACAAATCTTGCAAAAGAAGAAAGGCATCAGTAAACGGATGAAACTTATGTTGTAGACTGCCAAGATCACATGTAAAATCTCTGACAGATGAAAAGCTGGTGGAATGTAACCAGTTAACAATATAACCAGACGACAAACCAACAAAGATGATAACAAGCATTTCAAAAGAAATCACCTTTGGTATTCAAAGGATCAATGCTTTTACCAAATGACCAATATTTTTTCCAAATACTTTTACCAAAACAACCTCCTTTCCAAACGGGCTAGGAAAAAAAAAAAACTAAAGTGAAGATCACTGTATTTTAGTTTAATACAATATTGTTGGAAAAGATCAACAAATCAACACGACACTTATTCTTCACTGTAAAAAAAAAAAAAAGTTGCAATTACATTTTGTTAAAGACATAAAAGACTTATCTTCATTATGTTTTAGTCCAATTTGCAAGGTAAAAGTGCCAACCAAGACATCACCTCTGTTTTTGTGTAAAAGTCTGATCTCTGTTTAGGTGAGTCCACTCTGAGTGGTCCTTCTTCAGGATCAATTATTCTGGGTTAAGGAGACCCTCCATTATCTTGCCTGTTCAGTGAATTACGCAGGAATGCCATACCTACTCTTTTGCCCCAAACTGACCTCGTGGACTGGCAATCCTGGAGGCTAAGTCACTCTCTAAAACCCACTGCAGCCCCAGATCCATTCGAGGATGGGACACAATGTTATATAAATTTCTATTCTGAATGAATTCGGTTCCACAAAGCACTAACGCTTAAATCTAAAATCTTAGGATTCTATTTGCTCAGTGTGGTTTTATTTGGGGGGGGGGGGACGGTGGAGACACAGGAGTCGAAGAATACTCCCTGAATGTATATACTACATTTTGGGAGCCATAAGACACTGCACATAAACACATGTGCTCAATGAATTCTGACTCCAACCTCAGATTCCAGGGCTGTTCCCATATTTCTTATCACCTGACAGCCGGAAAAGCAAGACTTTGACGTATCAGCTTGAGAAACAAAGACAGAAAGAACTCTGACCACACCATTTTCAAATGGCCCAGAGGAGTGCTTAGTAAAATTCAGGCACTACAGGTGGTCTTTCCTCTCTCCATTATATAAATTGATAAGCCTGTGCCTCTGGTATGGCGCGCTACCCACTCCTGTTCAAACGTGGCTAGTTACAAAAAGCCAAGTCCTACAAAACCCGCGGGCTGAGCAGACCCCAAGCCCGGGCCGGAAGTGACTCTTCCCCCGGAGAGTGCCCACCTCCCACCTGCGACTACCCAGCACCGGGGGCGCGGCCGTGTTCCTCCTCCTCCTCCTCGCCGGCATCCCACTTCTCGCACCTCCCCTCGACTCTGGCTCTCTGAGGGGGCGGGAGAAGAGTCGGGATACCTGGAGATTGGATGACGTGGATGCCATGGCTGAGATACGAGGCGGTTCCTTGGGGAAGAAGAATGGGTGAGGAGGGCCAACAGCAGCGACGTCGAATCGCGCCCGGTCTCACCCCAAATGTGGGGAGGCTAGTGGCTCTCGGACCCTGAGCCGCGGCTTCCCTTCCGGAACTTGATCTGAAACACAGCGCTCCACGAGCCGACAAACAATCCTCACAATACTTCCGCAAACCCGAGCTCCTCCGGGATCTTGTCCCGTCTCTGGGCGTGAGTACTTCCGCCTTCGTCATCAGCACGCGCGCACCCAGTGACCACCTTCCTCGCGTCTCGCCCGCAGTCCCGGCCGTCCCGAGGTGGGAGGATGGTCCGGAAGCCAGCTCTAGGCCGGGCGGAAGCGAGGCTGGGCGCAGGCGCACTGGGACTCAGCTGTGGGCGGGGAGGGCCTGAGCTGTCTAAAGGGCAGTTCCCATTCCTTCTTTTCCGGATGTCTTATACTTTGAAATGAGTTATTGGTTCTGGGTCATTCCATCCCACGACCACATGCTCAGTCACTCCACAGCTTTTGAATGAAAAAAAAATCATCCCGTGTCCGAGTCCCACCGGTCGGAGTCTGCCCGTTCACTCGGTTTCCTCGTCTGTAAAATGGAATGATTACAGTACTTACCTCAGGGTTGAGACCAATATGACAGTAATGCGCCTAAAGGCACATGGCATAGTGATTGGCCTACAGTAAGATCTCAGTACGTGGTAGTGCTTATTATATCCTGTTCACGTGCTCACACGATACTGTCATTCAACAAACATTTTTCGAATGGTTATTGTCACTGCTCTGTAAGTCTCTGGAAGTATTGAGATAGACATGGCCGTTACCCGATGAGCTGATTGTCCAGTAGGAAAACAGGCTCCTGAACACAAGTCTTGGGAGAGGGATAGGTCAGATACATCAGTTATATTTACAAGGAAGATTAGTGCTTTATGCGACATCACGTAAATCAGGGATTAGTAGCAGAACTAAAACATGTCCTCAACCCTTCTACTGTTTGCAGCCACAATCCTCTTTTCTTCCTCCTTTCATAGCTAAGCTTCTCAAAGGAGAGCGAAATCGATGTTTAATCACTCCACCATTTTATTTCCCACTCACTCCCTAATTGTCTACAAACATCTGGCATCTCCTAAATAATTAAAATACTCTCCTCGTTCTCATTTGGTATCGTCGACTACTCATTTCTTGAATCTCTCTCATATAGCTTCCTAATGTTCCTTGTCTCTCTGCTTCACTATCTCCCCTTCTTACTCCTCACTAAGTGCAGAATTCCCTCAAGATTCTGACGTGCTCTTTTCTCTCACTACTCCATCTCTGCTCTTCTTATCCCCTTCTTGGCTTCAAGTATCAATAGAAAACAAATGGCTTCAAATCTAGATCTCTAGGCTCACCATCTCCTCTACCCAGCTTTTACAACTGCTCGCTGAGGTCCATCCCACAAAGCAAGACAAACTGAACATATCAAAAGCCAGATTAATTATCGTCTGCTCCAAACTTCCTTCTGTGGTCTTTCCTTCTCTGAATTACATCAGCAAATCTGTGCCATTCAGGCTCAAAGCTGTCACTCTCTGCTCAACACCTACCAGCCCTCCTCCTTCCAATCCCTCTATCCCCTTCCAGTTGCACCGTAGGGACTCCAGCCCTCAGCAGAGTGCCAGCACAGAATAGATACTTAATAAATATTAAGCCATTTAAGTGACTGCCTCAAAGAAGTCACTGGTTCTCTAATGACTACCAAATAAACTTCATTTTTCCTAAAAATACAAGCAGATTCCAATTACCTTTCAATCCCTAAACATTTACTGAATCTAATTCATGTAATAAATTCAACCCCTAAACATTTACTGAACACCTACTAACTGCAAAAGTTAGTCTAGGCGTTAGTGGAACAGACAGTCACAAAATAGTTAAAAGGATAAGTCATTGAGATATTTATGGAACACCACCATATGCTAGGCTGTTTTAGATGCTGAATATGAACCAAACAGTCAAAAATCCCTGTTGTATCACCACTAATAAGCCATGTTGATATCACATAGCCCTGATATCCAATGAGAAGGGCACATCACTTCTGTGGTGTTCTTCCCAGAAACCCACACTCTCAGTCTAATCATGAGAAAACACCAGAAAAACCCAAATTGAAGGACACTATACAAAACACCTGGCCAATGTTCTTCAAAAGTAAAAGATAAGAAAGACAAGAAACAGTGGAGAAACTGTCACAGATTGGAGGAGACTAAGGGGTCAAGGGAGCTCTGGTGGCACAGTGGTTAAGAGATCGGCTGCCTACCAAAAGATTGGCTGCCAACCAAAATCCACCAGCTGCTCCTTGGAAACTCTATGGGGCAGTTCTACTCTGTTGGAATCAACTCGATGGCAGTGGGATTAAGGGGACATGACAATTAAATGCACCATGAGATCCTACATTGGATTCTGGAACAGAAAAAAGGACATTAGTGGAAAAATGGATGAAATCTGAATAAAGTATGTAGTTTAGTTAATAGTATTGTACCGTTGTTAATTTCTGAGTTTTGATAAATGAACTATGATTCTGTAAGATGTCAACAGCAGGGGAAGCTCGATGAAGAGTACGTAATTCTCTGTATATCTTTGCAACTCTTCCATAAATATAACATTATTTCAAAATAAAAAGTTTTTTTTTTTTTTTTTTAAAATCCCTGTTCTCTGGGAGCTTACATTATAGTGGAATAGGAACATTTTACCTTTTACATGTTTACAAATGTAAATGTAAAAATGTTGCATGTGTAACAGCTTACAAACTACTTTCACATAGTTATTTAATTCTGTGAGGAAGATTTTATGTATCCCATTTTTACAAATGAGGAAACTAAGCCTCAGAGTGATCAGTAGAAGTCACCCAACCCACACAGCTCTAAATGACAGAGCTGGAATTTGAAACCAGGTTGTCTGGTTTTGAACTGCAGGTCTAAAATCAGAAGACAAACTGTGACAAGGGCTATAATAGAGGCAGAACACATCGTGGACCACAGAAGAGACAACACTTAATTCTGAATGGAGGAGTAGGAATTTCATAAGGAAGGTGTTATTTAAACTGAATCTTAGAATCTTAAATGAATTTGACAGAGGCAAGGCCATTTCGGGCAGAAGGAATAGCATGAAAATAGGCACGGAGGAGTGACACACCTGGCATGTCTGAGCAATGGCAGGAATGTAGGAAGTGGCAGGTGAGGAGGAGCAGGGAGGGGCAGGAGATAAAGCTAAACTGCAGCAACCAGCACTGCAAGGTTCTTGAAGCTTTGAATGATAAAGAGTTTGATCTTTATTCTGTAGGCAGTAAGGTTTCTTTGAAAGGTTTCTCCTTCCCTCTCTCCCTTCCTTTCTTCCTTCTTGGTACAGTTGGGATTTGGTCAGATATTGATTTTATGAAGATGAATCTGATCATCATTTGTAGAATGGAGCAGGCAGGAAGACATAGAAGGCAGGAGGATACTGCATTTCAGAAAACAAAAGAGTACATGGAGCCAAACAGGAGCCTTGCTGGTGCAACCTTTAAGTGCTCAGTTGCTAACTGAAAAGTTGGAGGTTTGAAGCCACCCAGCCACTCCATGGAAGAAAGACCTGGCTATCTTCTCGCATAAAGATTACAGCCTAGAAAACCCTATGGGGCAGTTGTACTTTGTTGCATGGGTCACTATGAGTTGGAATTGACTCAACGACACCCAACAACAACAACAGTGGAGCTAAATAGAGTCTTTGGGTGGTGCAAATGGTTAACACGTTTGCCTGCTAACTGAAAGGTTGGAGGTTGGAGTCCACACAGAGGTGCCTTGGAAGAAAGCCCTGGAAAACTACTTCTGATAAAGCAGCTATTGAATACCCTATGGAGCACAGTTCTACTCTGACACACACCAGGTTGCCCTGAGTTGGAATTACCTGGACAACAGCTAGTATACTGGCATGGAGTCAAAGAGCCCCTATTTCCTTGCCTCTTGCTCTTTGATTAAGACATCCTTTCTCCCTCAGTTGTTTTCACCAATTCAACATGTTAAAATCATACCTATTCAAGTGCTAGTTCCAATGTTGCTTCCTTAAGAAGCCTTATCTGAATCCTCTCTGAATTCTCGTGGCACTTTGGACCTTGTATTGCCCTTAGATAATGCATGCTAAGTGCCTAATGCAGCGCCTGGTGCATAGCAGGTAATCAAGAATGGTAAGCCTCACCTGTATTGTGTTTCACCTTTCTTAGACTGTAAAGTGTCCAAGGGCTGAAACATCATCTTATTCATTTTTGTAACCCCCACATACACACACATAGTGTAAAAGTGTGTGCTTCAATAGTTTGTTGAACACAATGAAGTTTCCCTCCTGACCAAGGGTTTTGGAGATTGGAGAGGTCAGCTGGCTGGTGGGCATCGTTTATAGATTCATCCTTCAACAGGACCCACATCCAGCCCATCCAGGGCTGAATCCACCCCACCTGGATCATTTTACAGGAAATGCATACTATTTAGGACCTTTGTAGCATGTCCTGCACAGCCTCTCAGGTCCACCCAGAAGTAAGATCCCTGCCTGTTGAGTCACCAGTTCCCTCTCTGCCCCTTAGCAGAACTGTAAAGAAGGTAAAGCGCTGACAAGGCTGGTCATCAGGAGGAAGTGACTCACAGACACACGAATAACACGCATATGAAGAAACAGTTTCAGACACCTTTGCCCTCTACCTCCGCACCTACACACACACACACACACACACACACACACACACACACACACTCAACCCAAGTCTTTTCCAGTACAGTTCTCTCCAAAAATGCCTCCTTGTTCCAGATTCAGTATTCCAATGGTTGCAGCTGATAGTGTTGCCTGATTGTACTTGTTGAAGGAGGTGAAAAAAATTTCATCTCTTCTCAGACCTCCCTTCTTCCCTCTTAGGGAGTATTAGGCATGAGCTACATTTTTCATTTTGCTCCCCCCCTTCAAGGCCCTCAGCTTAATTAATTCCAATTAATTGATCTTTGCAAATACAATAGGAAAATGTTGTTGTTGTGAGGTGCTGTTGAGTTGGTTCTGACTCACAGCGACCCTACGTACAATAGCAGGAAACACTGCCCAGTACTGCACCATCCTCACAATCGTTATGCTTGAGCCCGTTGTTGCAGCCACTGTGTTAATCCATCTCATTGAGTGTCTTCCTCCTTTTCACTGACCCTCTACTTTACCAAGCATGATGTCCTTCTCCAGG